GGGGTCTGGGTATATAGCCTGTTAGGCCTGCCATATCTTCTGTGCAATACTCTCAATTTATTATATTTCTTTTCTCTCCTTTTATGAACTTGAAATTACTTTTCTAGACTCCAGAATTAAAATTTTAATATATAATATTAGTCTCCTGCAAAGGTCCAGATACAGTGCTACTGTCCCAGCTTCCCCTCTCTTTTGTTGGTCCTGACTAAATGAGAAAAAGTACCATATTTTGTACTCTTTTATTAGATAGTAAATAATTGAAAAATGTTAGCATTAATATTACTAATACTGATATTAATGCTAATATTAATTTAAAAAATGTTAAAAAAAATTAATGTTTTATTTGTTATTGGTGTATGTACAAAACTATACTATAGAGTTTGGCATCTGAAGACAATATAAAGTATATAAATTGTCTTTGGATTCCCCTTGACATACTTTTGGTCTTTTCTCAATTTTAAACCCTTCTCTTCCAAATTAAATCAAAAGATTTGAAACCAAGGAGACTCAAAACATTTATCATTAGGGCTGTCCATGTGGGCTGTCCAGAAGGGATTGTGAAAAGTATATCATTGTACACAATGATGAAGGAAAGGATTGAAGCATATGAATTTTTCCTTATAAGCCTATTTACTATTCATATGAATCAGTTAAAAAATAAATGTAGAACTTTTTAAATCATTCCTTTACGACCATGAACTACTACAGATGTAATTAAAGGGAAGGGGGCTTGCCAAAAGTACATCATTGTACAAAACAGGGAGAGAGAAGGTCAAAAATGGCTTGAAAATTGTACAAGGTAATTAATGAATGCCTCTGTACTAAATTTGAGAATGTCATTAGTCAAAGAATTAATTATAACTTTTTATTAAAACTAGTAAAAATAAAACCCAAGAAATTTTTAAAATTAAAATTCTTCTGTTTTTTTCATTTAATCTGAAAAATATTTCATAAAATGATCAAAATTTATTCTTGAAAAAGCATTTAAAAAATTAAATTATAATAGTAATCTTTAAGTTTAATAATAATAATAATTTGAGTTAGGAAATATTTCTGATTAAATATTCCATCATAAAAAATTAAACTTTGCGTACACAATTTTGTTTTAAAACAATATTAAGTTCTTATAATTACATTATCATTAAATGACATCACAGATAACAATTTAATACATAAAAATTCATTATTATAAAAAGTTTAAATACCATATACTTTCAACGATAAAACCTCAAGCTGAATATTAATATATCCGATTAAGAATTGTTCAAATGATTATCAACAAAATCAAGATATATACATAATTTACTTAATTATCAAACAAAAGAAATGGAATTAAATATATAGAAAATATTAAAAAATTGTTATACAATATTATTTAAATGTATAATTACATTAAAATAAACTTATTTTTTTTAATATGAATAATGAGATTTATTAACATCAATATATATTTATGAATTTCAAATTCAAATAAAACAAGTAATTTTATTATAAACTAATAATTTTAAAACAACAAATTAGAAAGTATATTCATTTCAGTTATTTATAAACTAAATAATATTGGAATGTTGTAACAAATAAAATCAATATCACTTTGTTGTAAAATTGTATCCTTAAAAATCATATTCGGAAACAACTATTTTAATGAATGCAAGATGTCTTGAAAGTGGAGGACGATGGCTTGATTGTGAATAAAGAATTATTGACATTTCTAATTTTAAATTAAGTTCTAGTGGTCCTATGAGTGGTTGCATTAAACGAAGAGAACCTGTAAATCAAATTTTATATAATTAAGGTAAAATAATAATGCTTTATATCAAGGATAACACAGACAGATTATTTTAATGATTAAGATTATATATCATTCAGAACTTAGACTATTATATATAAGTTACATGATTTAAATTGAAATGTTTAATTAAGAACACAAATTTGAATCTTATGATGAGCAATCAGAAGTTTATGCAAAATATAATATATATAAATTATATGAATTTAACATTTTCAATAAGTTGTTACTGTTCCTATGCATGTGATTATGTCTTAAGTAAAATCATGTTGTTCATGTGTATTTGAAAAGGACAAGATTTAAGGCATAAAGAGAAGATTTTTATATAGATTTGATAAACATAGCAGATTGAAGACTTGAAATGATTTCCAGCATGAAGAAAATGCTCAGAACATATGAAAAATTAGANACCCTGATACTTCATTTTTACATTTTACTTGACAATGATTTATATTAAAAACAACCAAATACTGAATTAAATAACTCTTGAAATTAAGAACAATCTAAAGGGGATAATTGCTGATATATTATTGCTAATAGGAATTTCATTATTTTTTAAAAATAATGTTTATATTTAAAGAATATAAAAATATAACAGTATTAAATCTGTATATGTATATCTGAGATACTCTGCATGTGTTCAGTTAACTTAATATAACAAAATTTTCAAGATGAAGATTGTATTATACAGTAGGATGTTTTTACATCAGCTCTCAAATTCTACGTAAATTCTGTTAAAGCAGGGATGTCCAAGTTAATATTTTTATGCGGCCCACTGCACCCTAAATACTTTAGGTATAAAAGTACATAGTAGTTATATTCTTTAGGTACATTTTCATTTATTTTGGTAAAGTATGTCGTAAAACTGGATACACTTTCACTGGATATACTCGTAATGACGTAAATGCTACTAGAAACCTGTCCTACCCAACATGCATAACATACTATTCTGAACAATTCTTTTTGTGCAAGAAATAGGTTGAGTGATTCCCATTTAATTAACTAATATTCTTAGAATTAAGACTAGTACCATAAATGAAGATATTGACAATATTATAAAAGAAAGGCGATGTCAAAACGTGCATTGAATTTATTTATTGAACACATCTATTTTGTATGAGTATAATTTGTTTTTACTGTCAATAATACAGTACTTTTTGTAATTATATATATTTGTTATCAAAATTAGATATTCACATTTTGAACTTTTTAAAAGCATGTATTTATATAAAGTACTTTTGTGGCCCATTGGATATACAGTACTTAAAATTCTAATTTGGCCCATTAGGAAAAAGGTTGGACGATCTTGGACTAGATATATTCAGTCCTGCCCCTGACTATCTTTGTCAGTTTAGTTGAATCTATGATATGCATGGAAAATAAGGTTCATTTACACCCATAAGACAGAACAGGTTAAAAAAAACTGAATTGTGGATAACTAATCTTTAAATACATTTAAATGTAAGTCTATATAATTTAGAAAAATTAAATTAAAAATATCTACATAAAATACATTATGTAATAGAATATATATGTATATATAATTTCATACCAACTCCTTTTCCTTTAAGTACATCAAAAATTCTTCCTTCATTCCCTTCCAATATTACATAATTTGTTTGAAAAGACACTGAATGATCTCGAGTTACAGCTCTCATTGTTGTCAAAATGATTGGAGATGGTAAAACTGGAAATGATGGAAGTGCAATACTCTGATATGTTAAAGTTTGCGTATTATTAAGTACACAATCAATATCATTTGAACGACAAAGCTTTTTACATAAGACTGTGGCTTCTTTTAGTAGCAGTCTGCAAAATATCATGCTCAATGTTAATAAAAAATATGTATAAAAAGCATAAATAATTTAATGCAAATAAAATGATACTAACCTCAAGTTTAATAATTATTGATTATCTTAAAGAATAATTACTTTAACAGTAATAACAATAACAGAATATAAACATTAAATATGTGTCTTGAATAATTTCATATAAGTATATGAAAACTTTCATATTTATTGAAATTTATGATTTTTAAAAGTAAATAACAAATATAGTAACCTGATTAAAATATTGCAATGAGGAAAGAATCAACCTTTAATGTCCAGCATAAAGCATAAACCTGTAAAATCATTATTGTTTTTTCTTTATTCTAAACATGAAGATGGCTACTTAAGGTAATTGAAAATATTTATTTTCTTCTGATTTTTATGCTATATATTAAACGCTAAAGGCTGATTGTTTCCTTTTTAAAAATAATTAAACAAATTGCTCCAATTTTTAAAATAAAATATGTAAAATGCTAAGGTCTAGTACTTTATGGTTAGACCATAACATTTCTTTTTAGATGTTATTTAGAATGAAATAATGTGGTTATATTATGCAGATATATTCAGAGTATTTTTTAATGTTCATAAAAATCATAAATGAATACATTTTATAAGACATTATACTGTGTATTAATTCAAATATCTAATGATTGATTTTATTGAGTTATATTTAGGCTAAATATCAACTCTAAATATAGTCTGATATTTCTGGCAATTATTATAATTGGGTTTGTTATTAACTGCACATACTGTGTACAGTTTTATAATATATTAATTGATATAGAAATAAATTATAAAATAATTTGTATTTAATAAATAATTCTAATTATTTGCATTAATTTTTAAAAATTAATTTAAAATTACAATATTCTTATAAAAATGAAATTTTATAATGAAATATTTAATGAAATTTTTAAAATTAAAATTCTTCTGTTTTTTTCATTTAATCTGAAAAATATTTCATAAAATGATCAAAATTTATTCTTGAAAAAGCATTTAAAAAATTAAATTATAATAGTAATCTTTAAGTTTAATAATAATAATAATTTGAGTTAGGAAATATTTCTGATTAAATATTCCATCATAAAAAATTAAACTTTGCGTACACAATTTTGTTTTAAAACAATATTAAGTTCTTATAATTACATTATCATTAAATGACATCACAGATAACAATTTAATACATAAAAATTCATTATTATAAAAAGTTTAAATACCATATACTTTCAACGATAAAACCTCAAGCTGAATATTAATATATCCGATTAAGAATTGTTCAAATGATTATCAACAAAATCAAGATATATACANTTATAAATAATACTGTCATTTATAAAACATCAGTTCTTGATTATTATTAAATCATTTAAAATTAATTATAAATTATTATGTTACAGAATGAGGTAAATGTTTTTAATAAAAATTTCAAAATAAAAAATTAACAATGTATTCTTTTAATAAAATTATGAACCAAATATGATTTGTGAATAATTAATATTCATAACGTGTAACAAATATAAGTATTTTTGCAATGGCAGTTCCCCCAAAGAGTCCATTATGATACATTTTCATTATTAATTCTAGTTCTATATCTTGAGGACCAGGTATAGATCTTGCAATTGATAACATCACTTCATTAAATGCTGTCCTACGAATCTGAAAATATTCTCTAGACGCAGGATTGATACCTTCAGGAGCCCGTGCACTTTTCAACTCTAAGGCAAACTGTACTGATGTAAAAGAAAATCTTGGCCCTCTCATGGTAAACAAATCTAATTGACCTGAAACTGGTATTTGCATGTTGGAGACAAGAGTAATGAAATTGAATGAATATGAGAGAGGTGCTTTTAAACATTCAGCATCTCCTTGCCGACAATTTACCACAGCTCTTTTGCATCGACTGAAACAGAAGGTAAGGACATTTAAAGAAATCTGCTGTTAATTTTAATATAACATTAATAATTTAGTAATAAAGGGAAAGGCAAATTTACACCANCATAGGCGGTGGCCCACGTCGTCCATGCCTTACGCCGCCCTTGGTCATAGAAATGATGTAATTTGAATATAAATTATTTATAAATACGTATGTCAAGTTATATTTTTATTACTACGTATAATATATTTAAGAGTTTACGACCAACTGTGCTGGGTGACACGTTGTTGAAACAAAAAAAAGTTATGCATTCCATCACGTTCATAAACAGTGTCGTAATTCGCCAAGTGCAAATCAGCAGATTCGTAAAATTTTTGTTTATTTTGAACAATCCGGATAATCGAAAATCCGGATAATGGAGGTCCGGATAATGGAGGTTCTACTGTAATTGTATACTGCATCCTTTAAAGTGATGAAATTAGTTTAAGATAAACAGAATAGAATTTTAAAAAAACAGAAAATTTAAAATGAATAAAATTAATTCAAAGTATTTATAATCACAGATATACTCAAGATCTGCTTTATATCTGTCTATTACAGTGTTAAAATGATGGAAATAGTTATTTAATAATCTCTATTATTATTATTTGATTATCTCAAGAATGGTGTTTTTAAGAATCTGGATATTATTTTAGAATAAAAGCAACATTTTCAGAAGATCAATTCTGAGACATTTCAAGTCACAACATTACGAGATAACCAAAATATGTCTACAATTGAAAAGTGATGTACGAGGGTCATCCAGAAAGAAACGACCATTTGGTTTTAATAAATGAAAGAAATATATTTTATTAACTAAAACATGTCACTTACAAAATTGAAGCTTACTTTATTTTTCTACATAATCACCGTCATTATTTAAGCATTTGTCATATCTGTCCATGAGCTTTAGAATTCTCGTGTCAAAGTAGGCTGCCGCCAGTCCATTAAGCCAGTTGTTTACTGCATTCTTCACCACGTCATCACTTCCAAAACATTTCTTGCCCAGGAACTCTTTGAGCTTTGTGAAAAGGCTAAAATTGCAAAGAACAAAGTCTGGACTGTAGGGTGGATAATCAAAAATTTCCAATCCAAATCAATCCAGCAAGCCTGTGGTTGCAGCAGCAGTGTGAGGGTGGGCATTATCGTAAAGAAGCACAATACTGTGAGAAAGCATTCCATGCCTAAATTTTGGATTGCTCGCCGTAGTTTTCTTGGGGTGTCACAATATCAATCTGCATTGATCGTAGTGCCTTTTGGAATGAAATCCATCAAGAGAACACCATTATGATCCTAAAAAACCGTCATCATGAGTTTTTTTGCTGACAGAGTTTGTTTGAATTTTTGCAGTTTTTTGGGTGATGAGGGGTGATGCCACAAGTGATTGGTGCTTGGTCTCTGGGGTGAAGTGAGACACCCATGTCTCATCACCAATAACAATTTGATCAAGAAAGGCATTTCCATCTGCTTGATACCTCATCAAAAATGTCAATGCTGCACCCATTCTGTGTTCTGTGCTGGTCACTCAGTTGCCGAGGAACCCATCGTGCACAAATTTTGCTATAGCCAAGATGTTCAGAGACAATTTCACCAAGCAAAGAACAAGAAATGTTAAAGAAAGAAATATGTAACTCATCCGAGGTACGCGTCTGTCTTGCACAATTTTCTTCTTCACTTGATTCTTCAAATCATCAATTAGAAATAGAAGTAAATGCATCTTGCATATTGTATATAATAATTGTATACTGCATCCTTTAAAGTGATGAAATTAGTTTAAGATAAACAGAATAGAATTTTAAAAAAACAGAAAATTTAAAATGAATAAAATTAATTCAAAGTATTTATAATCACACGTGTCCGTCACTAATCACGGTGATCAGTGACGGACATCCAGGTCGAGTTTCATCATATATTTGTTCATCCATTGTTAAACATTTCACACCACTTTCTCACATTTCTTTCGTTCATTATTGTATTGTCATACACTTCCTTTAGTTGACAATAAATTTCTGCAGGTTTCAACTTCTGAGCATTCAATAATCGAATAACACCTCTGACCTCACAGTCAGTGGGACTTTGTATCACACAGTTCATTGTTGTCAATGACAGAATGTACAATAACAACTTGTTTCAACTAGTACTCATACAACACTGAGAAAAGACATTGAGGAAACTACTCGACTTTGGATAGTAGCCCGAGATCAAAGTGCACAGCCAGAATGCGCAATAGGTCATTACTTTCTGGATGATCCTTGTATGTTCAGCTTCTTTATAACCTTGCTGTATTTACACAAAAAAATACTTTACAACGTTATGAAAATTCTGTGTTCTTTTATTAAAAAAAGTTAAATAAAAAAACAAATTGAATTTTTGATAAGTTAGGAATCTTAAAATGTAAAATAAAGCTTCCTTATCATAATTTTGTGATAAATATTTTCTCAAGAAAATAGAGCATTGTGGCTGTCCGCCATTTTTGTACATACATAGTTAGTATTTAGATTTAGAATTCTTTGTTCTTTCCTTTCCTTCTTCTTCTTTCTACTAATGACCATTTCCGGTCACCCGACAGGAGTGGGAAAATAATGGGTCCTGATTGGTGGCTTATCGACATGAACAGGGAGGGGCCCTACCCATGGGATATAGAAGGAGAACAAAGGGGTGAGAAAGACACTTTTTGCCTGGGCCACGAAGAGAAGAGGTTGCGAAAGTATCATCGGGACAATAAGTCGGACCTCGAGGACAAAGAACAAGCCGAACGTGCTGAGTGTAGAGTAGTCCCAAAGAAAGGAAAGGGACTAGTGACATGTCCAATAAGAAATAGTGGTCAACAAATTCCAAGTGACAATTACCATACCAGGAATGTTGGATATTCCAATGTCGATCGATAAAATCCCCACAATCATCGGAAACCCCAATCAGGATCTCATGTGCTAAATACCGGTAGACTTTTCCTTCCTTCCTTTTTCCTCTCATTAGTGTAGTGTTAGATTAAGTTACTTATAAGTTATTTATAAGTTAGTAATTAGGATCTGTATCGCGATAACAATTCATTGTAAGAATCCGAACGAGAACAGAGACCTGTTATATATATATATATATATCTGTGTATTTGTCTCTGACGGGCATCACTGTATTATCTGTTAATCCCGGTTGTAATAAACTATTGTTTAGTTGGTATTTGTTGGAATACTTGTCTCGTACATCTTTAACCCTCACAAGGTCTAGTTTTTCTAGGAAGATTATGAATCCAAAACAAACGTTTCAAATGTATATTCTTTTTATGGAATATTTAACNGATAGTGATGATATATATATATATATATATATCTGTGTATTTGTCTCTAATGGGCATCACTGTATTATCTGTTAATCCCGGTTGTAATAAACTATTGTTTAGTTGATATTTGTTGGAATACTTGTCTCGTACATCTTTAACTCTCACAGCATGATATCATCCTTGAAATATAAAAGAAAACCCTATTTTTTTCTAAAGTACCTTTCAGTCACCATTCTAACAGTCCTGAAAATTTAGCAAAACAAAGATTCACCTTTATGAATGAATATGCCTTTTAATATAGTGTTTCTTTTAATTGATGGATTATTAACTTCAAATTGGAAATTGGGTCTAAAAATCTTAAGTTTGAATCTCAATAGGAATGGAGAATTTTTAGTTGCTTTATGAAAATATATAATGCGTCTCAGTATCTTCTAGAAATTTTAATAATTTCAAGACTGTTCTTTTACTAAAGTTATAACAATCACTTTCAGAGCTATTTAAAAACTCACTAGTAGTATAAGAAATTTTAATACCTTGTACTGCTATTAACAGTGATCACACTATATTAGTTTTATTTTTGTATAATTATGTCTTAATGATAATAAATTGTTTAAATTGTTATTTAAAATCTTCTTTCCATACAAAAAATTTGTCTAACTTAAACTGTTTTCAAATTCATTTAGTTTAAGGAATTCTCGTAATTTGCTAAATTTACAAGAAAGTGTTAAAAATTTCATAAATAACTAAATATCTATCTCTTAACTGGAGATAGATATTTAACACCAATCATACTTAATAAAAATTTAACCAATCATACTTCATAAAAAAAATTATTTATGTTCATATATAGATATATGATATATTTTATATTACAAATACAGTATGTACATTTTTTAAATTTATTTTTTAGTTAAAAATTAAATCTATTATAACAAAANGTTAGTAATTAGAATCCGTATCGTGATAACAATTCATTGTAAGAATCCGAACGAGAACAGAGACCTGTTATATATATATATATATATCTGTGTATTTGTCTCTAATGGGCATCACTGTATTATCTGTTAATCCCGGTTGTAATAAACTATTGTTTAGTTGATATTTGTTGGAATACTTGTCTCGTACATCTTTAACTCTCACAGCATGATATCATCCTTGAAATATAAAAGAAAACCCTATTTTTTTCTAAAGTACCTTTCAGTCACCATTCTAACAGTCCTGAAAATTTAGCAAAACAAAGATTCACCTTTATGAATGAATATGCCTTTTAATATAGTGTTTCTTTTAATTGATGGATTATTAACTTCAAATTGGAAATTGGGTCTAAAAATCTTAAGTTTGAATCTCAATAGGAATGGAGAATTTTTAGTTGCTTTATGAAAATATATAATGCGTCTCAGTATCTTCTAGAAATTTTAATAATTTCAAGACTGTTCTTTTACTAAAGTTATAACAATCACTTTCAGAGCTATTTAAAAACTCACTAGTAGTATAAGAAATTTTAATACCTTGTACTGCTATTAACAGTGATCACACTATATTAGTTTTATTTTTGTATAATTATGTCTTAATGATAATAAATTGTTTAAATTGTTATTTAAAATCTTCTTTCCATACAAAAAATTTGTCTAACTTAAACTGTTTTCAAATTCATTTAGTTTAAGGAATTCTCGTAATTTGCTAAATTTACAAGAAAGTGTTAAAAATTTCATAAATAACTAAATATCTATCTCTTAACTGGAGATAGATATTTAACACCAATCATACTTAATAAAAATTTAACCAATCATACTTCATAAAAAAAATTATTTATGTTCATATATAGATATATGATATATTTTATATTACAAATACAGTATGTACATTTTTTAAATTTATTTTTTAGTTAAAAATTAAATCTATTATAACAAAAATAATTTTACTCTATAATATTTTAAAATATAATACATACTTTCGATGGTCAGGATCTCGTATATAATTGGGTGGACATATAATAGCATTACATCTATATCCACCACGAACATTGAGACAAACTTCATTTTCTCCCCTACAGACTCCTTGTTCCTCACATTCATTAATATCTGTGTAAAATAATGAATTAAATAATGAATAATGTATCTGATAAATTCAAAAATATTTTGTTGCAAAATTTTTTTTATAAAATATCTATATAATAAAACAAATGTCATTATAAATGTTTATACTTTAAACATTAGCACAAACTGGTGAAAACTATGTTTATATCCATCATGATAGTACTGAATTATTATAAAAGATACATTAAAGCATCTTTTATAAAAATTGAGCCATGTCGCCATCTCTTTTATTAAAAGATAGCTAAAGTCTTTTAATAAAAATACTGTAAAGAATAATGGAACAATGAATGTTTCATTGACTTTCTATGAAGAGTAATAATGTACACTCAAATCTAGCATTCTTATGTTTAGTTCAAGAGTGAAAAAAGTATCCATTTGTGTTATCTGACATTGACACTTGGTACCCACTAGGTTGTTCCTTAAATAATTATAATATTTTTAATATACTTTGTAACTGTTTTTAAAAATTTTTTGTAATCATCTAAAAAAAATTGTTGAAAACTATTTCCATTTTAATGTATATCAATAATTTAACATAACATTTCTATTCTTTTTGATTTCAAAATTGTTAGTTTATTCATTTAGCTTAAAAATTATAATTGTAATATTTAATGGTTCAAGTTATTTGATTAAAGGTTTGCAGAAAAAATTATATTTACAGTTAATTTTATTTATGATTCTTTTGATTATTAATTCTGTAATTTTTATTTACAGTATGTGTATTTATAAAATTATAGTGTCAGGCTATAGATTTTGAATTTTGACTATAAGTGATTTACTGTAATTTTATTTCATATTTTTACCTTGACATGTTCTCTTATCACCAGATAACCGATAACCATCAGGACATGCACAAGAATAAGAACCAGGCTCATTAAGGCATAATCCCATACATAATTTACGTCTTCCTTCATACAGTTTACATTCATCTATATCTAAATTTCAAAAATAAATATTTAAATTGACTTATTATAATGAACAATTACTTAGTTATTTAATATAGTAATGCTTACCTTTGCAGGTTCTGTTATCTGATTCCAAGGAATATCCTTGTTCACAAGTACATTGATAAGATCCCCAAACATTAATGCATTTTTGATGACAAAGATTTGGTGTTTCAGAACATTCATCTATATCTAGAAAATTAATTTATTTATGTATTTATTATTTTATTTCATAAGAAATAACTTTTTAATGAAAAATTCAGAGGTTTTAATTAGAAAAATCTCAAATTATAAGTAAATTCATAAATCTGTAGAATTAAAATAATCTTAATTATTATCTTTATTATAAACTTACCTAAACAATTTCTGGCATTTTCACCCTGTCGAAACCCAGTTTTACAATTACATATATAAGATCCTATTGTATTTTGGCACTCTGAATTTACTGAACAAACTTGACCATGAAAACGGACACATTCATCAATATCTGCAAATAAAAATTTTAATAATACAGTTATTCATTTAAAATTTTTAAATTTTGTCTTTAATTAAATTTTAAACCTGAGGTAATAAACTAATGTAACCTCAATTAGATTACATCACTAACATACATTCATAGATATGATATGAATAAATTCATTATCATTAATTAAATGCTTTAAGAAATGATGCTTCAGTTCAACAATTAACCTTTCAGCAGTAGACTAGTCAGGCATGGTTCTACCCCCAGTAGTGGAGAATAAATGTAGAAAATTTTTAAAGTATTTTTCCTTGCATTTTTTTCTCATTACTGTTCCAGAAAAAGATTTTGTAAACTGTTATGTCTAGTAAAGAAAATTCTTTTTTTATTGTTACATAATTCATTTTTTATGTGAAATTTTTTCTGCAGTAGTTTTAGGCTAGTTTTTGGCGATACCCCTCAAAAGACTTTGAAGACTATAGTCATTTCTCACCACTGCCCACTGCCACACGATCACTTTTGACGACTATAGTCGTCGCTCACTGCTGAGTGGTTAAGCAAAATTTTTCATATTATCAAACAGTTTAAACTTATATCCAAATATAATATATTTGGATATAAGTTTAAACTGTTATATCAAGGACATTGAGACATTTTAATTAAATTATATCCAAATATTTATCAAAATTCTCAATGAAAATTACCAGTATGAAAATATGAATATTTATTCTTTGTGACAACAGAATAATATCAATAAAATAAATGATTATTTAATGGTTAAACTTAAAAAAAATATATAATTTACAATGTTTATTATTCATGAAATCCTGGATTTTGAGTTATTTCCAAAAGTTAAAAAATTTAATTTCTAATCAACAGGTTAAATTGGTTTGTTGCATAATATTCAAATGCTTCCAAATCAAACATTGAAATATTTAAAAAAGAAATTATGTTTTAACTATTTTCACAAATTGTATATATCAATTTGAATAATCTGTAATTCAAAAACTTTTTTCTGTTGTTCAAATTTTCATATTTAATAAATTTTAATATTCAAAGAGACAAAAGATAATGCAAAATTTCAGTTCTTTGAAAAGGATATTGTTTATATTTTTCTGAGACAAAAATTTATTGTATTAGACATGCCATTATGCATATTATTTATAATCATTATTTGAAATCACTCATATGACATATTATTCATAGAAAATAATATAGGTGGATAGGACTTGTTCAAGCAGTGTGGAAAATATATGGACTGGTGCTGGCACCTTATGAATATAAAGAGACCTACTGGTGCCTCTGGAAATATCACTATTTTCCAATAATCTATCTACCTCTAGAAAATAATCAACAAACAATTTTTTTAACTTATGATAAATTGAGGATTTAAAAATTTTATTAAATAAATATTCTTTACTTCTAAATTGTCACTAAAATCACTTCTGAAATTATTTACTGAAGCTAAATTATATAAATTATGTATTTTAAAAGAAGACATCATAAGTTCAAACTGAAAATTTTTCTTTTGTTGTCAACTCTTTTTCCTTTAATAAATACTATAAGAGTTTAAAATAAATATCAAAATGCAGAGTTCACTATCAGCAGAAATAAACCATAAATCTTACAAATGAAAATAGGACATTTTTTCATTTTGTCATCTAGATACTTCTACTAAATTATAGTTTAGTCAATTATATCCTCATATTGTCAGAAATAGCTAATGAAACTAAAATAATGAAATTATAAATAGATATATTATTATATTAATGTTTTTATCAAAAAAAATAAAGATTTTTCAATATTTAATGTTAGTACAATTTTCCACAATTTTTTAATGTTGATTTAACTGATTCATGTGAATTCTTTTTAAATTTGATTTAAAACAAAAATAAAAACTGTTTTAAGTTTTAAATTAAAGCTTAAAATATTTTATATTAAAATTTTATAAATAAATTTTGAATACATTAATTTAGTTTGATTTCCTGAAATCAAATTGAAATATTACAAAATGAAAATAGTAATTCTTCATATATCATTTAAATTACCTTCGCATTCTCTTTTAGCATTCATTAAGTATCCAGTTGGACATTCACATATATAGCCACCGGCCCTGTTCCGACAGATTTGTTTTGCACCACATTCATGAGTTCCACGAGAACATTCATCAATATCTGAAATAATTTTTATTTATTAATAATAAATTAATTTATATATTATAATCAAGAGTCTGTAAAGATTCATGGATCTTTACACTTTTATATTATGTTTTCAAAAAGTTATCTTTTATTCTTCAAATCAATGTTTAAAACTTAATTATTTAAAAATCTAGCAATGAATTGCATAACTTAACTGGCAACATTTAAAACTGCATGTAATACCATCTGTTTTCATATTTTTTAACAAACTTTTTATATAATTATTATAAAATGGCAGAAAGCTTAATTTTGAGGGTAGAGATGAATTTTATAAAAAAAATTGTAAATGCTAATGATGAGTAAAATCTTCATTGTCTGACTCTCTTCAAGATGACACATGATACTCCTCTTGCTCCCATTCCCTCAACTTTTAAAACCAAAATTTAATAGCAATAATACAATCAAATTTTGCAAAGAGATTTGTGTAACCTCCCTGCAAAATTTCAGTGATTTTCAACAAAATGTACAAAGTGGTGAACAAAATCATGATCCACATACATCCAATAACATCCATACATACAGAAAAAATTTTCCATCCTTTTCACATTTCTCAACATTTCAAGGTTTAGATTCCAAAAATGTAAAAATCTAGAGGGATCATTTTTTGACTGATTGCCATACTTTCCCTCTTTTATGTATAACAGCCAGAAAAGTAAAAATAATTATGAAAAAACAGTACAGACAATCATTCATGATCAGATTTTTTATGCAGTTTTACTTTTTGTGATGTTTTATAGAAGATAACAAAAAAATAAATAAATTACTTTTCATAAGTTATATACATTTTTAATGAGTAATATTTTTGAATTTTCATTTTCTGCCTTACAATTAAATACAGAATTCTGTTTTTAATTTTTATTACTTAAAAGCATAAAAAATTATAATATAAATATTATAAATGTTTATTTAATTATAAAGAATCTGATGATAAACAAGAAAATTTGAAAATGTTATTTAAATAAAAACATAAAATTCTAAATATCAGAAACTGATTAGTGAATACTGAAATAGTCACAAAAAAGAAAGATAAATTCATTATGAAATAAATCAAATTGGAACTTTCCTGATTGAAGTAAGATATGTTTTCACATTATCAAAAGTTGTTTAGTACTCAATGTAAAAAAAGTTAAACTCACAGGATTAAATAATTAATTTTGCATTTTTTAATATTTTTGCCAGCATATTACTTACCTACACACTGATTCCCATATTCATTTACTTCATATCCTCCACCACATGTTAATAAGTTCTGACAACGATATGAACCAACAGTATTAATGCAGCGTTGATTTGGGCGACAAATACCAGGATTGACACATTCATTAATATCTATTAACAATTACATTTTATAAAAAAAAACAATTACCAATAATTATTTATTAAAATTTTCAAAATGTTTAATAATAATCCTTGTTACAGTTAAAAATATATTACCTATACAATTTCCATTACTATCAGATTCCATTCCTCTGGAACATGTTATTGTTTGACAAGTACCATCTGACAATAGTTTTTGTCCAGGAGGACATCTAATGCGATCACATCGAAAAGATCCTTCAGTATTACGACAAACAAAACTAGGACCACAATTATGTGTACCTAATCTGCACTCATCATCATCTAAACATGAAATTAATTAGTATAAAATATCTGAAGTTTTATTATACGTTCTTTTTATTAAATAAGTATACCTTCACATTCTCTAGTTTCAGCATTAATTGTATAACCTGTTCCACAGCTTATTATTCTAACACAGATAAATGATCCTATAGTGTTATCACATCTCTGAGTGGTTAAGCAATTATGATATCCAAGAAGGCATTCATTAATATCTGAAACAGAAATATTGGAAATAGACTAATCAATATTAAGATAACATGTTAAATAAGACTAAAGTTTTTCCAGAAAGACTAAAATAGTTTATAATTGAATATTTTTATAACTATAATTTCCATTTTAAGAACAAAATTTTACAATGTAAAAAACTTCTTAGTCTTCAAGAACACTTTAAAATAATAATCCATGACAAAGACCTAACAAAATTGTCAATCTGATGGCCAATTGTTAGATCAGAACATGTTATACATCACAATCATTAAAAACAGGATTGAAAATTTAAATTGGAAGTTAAAATACATTGAAAGATGTGAAAAACAGATTTAATTAATCTTCAATACTTTCATTGCCTCAATACAAACTTCTTCACAAACAAAAGTACCTAAAGAGTAAGTAAATATGTTTTTCATATCTTTCTGTGTGTTTTAACAACCAATTTAAATTTTCACATCTTGTATATTTTTGAATTGCCCTTTGTTAGTTAAATTACTGTATAGATTTTCATCTCATTCTAAGAATGGATTCTTAATTTATTAGTTTATTATGAGAAATGTTATTTGAGAGAGAGAACAATACAATCACAATGATATATGACATTGTTCCTAACTAAATTAGAATTAACAAATTAATTAATTTAAAGATTTTCTTGAAAATAGAAATTATAATTTTAAAACAACTCACAATAAATTGTTTTGTATAACAGTAAGAAGTCTCATAAAAAAAAAGGAACCTCTAGTAATTGTTCAATGGATGTAATTACCCATACACATGCATACAAAATTTTGGCATTAATAATAATTAGTATAAAATTGTGTGAAATAGATTTTCTGCACCAGCCACAGTTTACAAATTGAAATTTGGCATGTAGCATCTTTTCTAGAGAAATAAAACTCAACTGGATTCTAGAAAGGATCCAGTTGAGTTTTAACTGGAATACAGTTGAGTTTTTCTTTCTAGAATCCAGTTGTGATTATATTGAAAAAAGGCTCAACTGGATTCTTTCTAGAATCCAATTGACCTTTCTTTCAATATAATCACATTTAAATCAGGCATATTTAAACTTATCTATGAATCTAATTCATAAGTGGAAGGAAAATTGGTAAAGTATGAGGGATTTCATTTTGATGATATTGTTACATTGTTGAAGGTTCACATCCACATTGTCCAGTATGACGTAATCAGAAAATTTTCTAACAAAATTTTTCCAAATTTGTAATCCATACACATCTAGTGATTGCACAAGTTGTTTGTTTAGAAATCAGTAGGAGTTCCAATTCATTGCCAACAATAATAACAGTTTTGACATTATTATAAGTTGTCCATGAATTGATTAATAAAATACCTTTCTAATGTGAGAAAAATATATCTCTAAGCCATGCTTTCATGTAAACCTGTGTTAGTTTACCAGATCTGAAAGCAGTAATATAAACATTTTTTATTTGAAATAAATTCTCTTATACTTTAGAACTAAACAAGTCACATCTTCACTATTACAATTGTCAATTTTTTGATCATAATCACTGTTGTAACCTTCCTTATTGCAAGAGGCAATGAGAGGTCGTCAAGGCGGGAATTTAAACATACTTTTCTTTGTCTGAGTCATCACCTCAATCAGTTGTATTCCAGAGTAAATAAAGATAATTGTTAATTAACTATGTGCTTTTATGTGAAACAGTGTCCAAAACAAAATCAATACAAAAATCACATTGTTCATTTTTGATACCCAGATCACATTTGTTTCAATATCAAAGTGTTGTGTGCAAACAGGTAGCAGTAATACCTGTAAACAACAGTAAAATTATGAACAAATAATAAGTAAATCTTTTTAATTACATTTATATTGCAACTACTGATAAAATGGATGTTGTTCATTGTTTTAAAAATTCTTTCAGCAATGTGTAAAATTAAACACCTAAACATTCAGAAGCACTTTAGTGTTGAAAATTGCTGATAAAATTGGTGTAAATCATTCTTCATTTTGAATATACTTTCAGTGACGATAGTATCATTAAAATCAATGTGTACACATTGGGTACTTGTAAGCATTGTAAATAATTTTGCACAGAAAATAATTAATATGGTATATAATTGCTTGCTGCACACACATATGTTCCAGAGTGATTGCTCATGTTAATTATAACACTGTTTGTCAGCTCTGTGAAAAGCAAAGTCCGTTCCTAAACAAGAGAATCTGGAGGATCCTATAATGTTCATGGTGGAGGCTGACAAGATATAACTTATCTTCTTGAAGCTTCTCACATCCTTTCAAAATCTGACTCTGAGTATGGATATAATGTTCTGTGCATATTCAGAATTTTGGACACATCTGTTTGAAACTAGCTTGCTTCTAGCCTTCCAGTCATTCTTCCTTTCATAAAATTGTTCATGTGGCATATTGTGGCACTACCAATGTCAGTACCATACAGTAAAACTGTAAACTGTCCTTGAAGGTTAAACTATAACAGATACAAAGTCATTCTACTGTTGTATTTACTATGGAGCCTGCATACTTTGCACCATCAACTTGTGCTTTTGAATGAAACATTTGCCTGTACCATGGAGTATTTTTATTGTCTGGAATTGCTCACATAAATTTTTTACTGTTTAATCTTTGCTCTATCTATTATTTTTTGCTTTTTATATTATCATTTGTTTATTAAAAACAAATTTAATGCAAACTTTTTAATATTTCTTTAAAGCATTAATGAAAAAATCCAACTCAACTTTATGATTATGAATCGTTTTTTTACTTTTGTGATTCACGATACACACTTATAATGAAATTAAGAAACAAAAGTACTTAGAAAAATGTACTTATATGAACTGTTTAAAATATTTAAACAAAACATTCTACAAATTAATCTATTTTAAAATTCAATGAAATAAATGATACATACTGAACTAAACAAAAAAAAATCCAACTAATCTTTCCTAAATATTTTATTGATATATATTANCAATAAAGTTGTCCTACCATCCTCCCACCTTAACCCCCACTGTGCAATTCCCACCAACCTCTGTATATGTTACAAGGATCACTCACTTCTTTGTAACATCTCCCATCAGGCCTGTTCTCTACACATCTCTTCTGTATTATGTCACATCCTACAGGTATTTCGTTAATTTTTCATATTTTACATCTTTTTAATATATACTTTTTTAGTTTTGTGCATACCACCTTTTATTTTAACACACATTATACTATCCTCAGGTGCATGTATATTGATCTGATAGCACTATTTGCTCATTCCTCCTCCCGTGCTTAAATATGTGTATATATATCTTATGTGTAATACCAGCTTAATGGTCACTATCTCAGGTAATTGTATTTTATCATATAAATCACTGTACGCGTATACTAATTTTTTAAATGAATTCTGTAAATTTTGATACCTGTAACCAATTTGATAATTATGTAATAATAATAGGACTGAAGAGGGGCATTAAGCCCGAAATGCATATCCATCCAAGTCAATAAAGCAACCTTTTTCCTCTTAAAGTGTTCCTGTATGATACGTTCTCAACAGCAACATTGTGCTAACCAAACACAGAATTCCATTCTTTTAGTTTAACATATGAATTTGGACTGAACAGATTTTTAACAGATTAGTGAATGTAAATTTATAGTCTTATTAATTTAATTCCACATTAAAATTGGGTAGAAACAACATCAAACTTAAAATTTTAAAAAATGCTTTTAATTTTTATTACTATTTGCAATTATTAGTAACTGCAAATAACTTTATTTTACATAATCATTTTTATACTTCTTACAGAAGATGAATAAAAATTTCTATTGGTTTATCTTATTGATATAGGTCTGTAAGTTGTCAATAGAGATTCTATTAATTTCTATTGATTAATCACTTCAACAGAAACCAACAACATTGGTACCTTATTGGCCAAATGCTTGTATATTCTTAAAAGGCTTTTCAAAATTCAAAAATATATCAAAATTCTTTAAGAATATTGATGTTTTGAGCCAAGTGCCAAGCACATATTTATGTATTAAATAAACAATAAATTTTACTTAATTGCTTATTTAAATTACCAACGTACTATAGAAACATCTAAATCCAAAGAACAATTTGATAAATCATAAAGTATTTTGATCTAAAGCCTAAATATAGCTTCAAAAACATTTAAATTTAAGAAAAATTAAATAACTTTAAAAGGTAAATTTAAATTTGTTTTTATGCTGAGTAATTAATAACTATAATAATTAATAAAAAAAAAAACTTATTGAAGATGACATAGTTTCCCAAAAACTATTTTGAAAAATAATTAATCATGAATTATTTTAAAACTAAAACTAATCATAAAATGACTATCTTGAATTTTTCTTTCAATTGTTAACAGTCCTATTTCACAAATTGAATTACTTGAACATTTGAAAAACTTGCATTTTAATTAGAAAATTCAATAAAAGTTAGTTAATTAATCAAAAGTTTTAATTCATCATAATAATCTCTCCCATGAAAAATTACTGAGAATCTATTGCATTTTTGTTGTATCTTTAGAATAATATCATAATAAACTTTTAGATAACCAGGCTTTACATTAATTATTAATTTCCTTGTAAGAAGAAAAATATTAATTCTCTTCTTCAGAAATTTTATAAGTAAAGATTTTATCAGAATATTACCGTTGCAAGTCTTAGTTGTTGGATCCATCTGATATCCCTCTAGACAAATACAACGAAAACTTCCTAATGTATTTTCACATTTTTGGTTGGATAAACATCGATTTCCATCATTACATTCATTAATATCTAGAAATAATATTCATAAGAGTAAAGTTAATTCATTTTTTTATGAAATTGTTAACATAACATTTAAATTTATATTTTATTCACCAACACAGGTACGAGTAGTTGGATCTGCTACATATCCTCTTTCACAATATGAAGTTATTGAAGTTTTAGTCTGACACTGATAACTACCAATAATGTTCACACAGTAATGAGTTTCAAGATTACAGTCATGAGTCCCTATTGCACATTCATTTATATCTGTAATTTAAAATTACATTAATATTGATAAAAGCATTCAAAATAAAATTATTTAAACTTTATCCTGATTAACTGAATGATGTCAACTTTATTCAATATGATCTTCTGAACAGTTGTTGAAGGCTGCTATATCAAGTTTCTTTTTGTTTCTTTAAATTTCTTTTGTGTTAATTTT